AGCACAATTTCCCGAGCTGTTCTCTGACATCAAGTGTATTTGTGTTATTAAAAGTCTCTGTATTTTCGAAACGAAGGCTTCACTAACACACAAAGTACTACAAAATTTCTGAAATACTTAGCCATCTCCGTTTGAAGAATTATCACTCTTCAACGCAAAGAATAATTTGAAAGCACTTTGACCATTCTTGGCTAGTTTTGTCGATATTCGAGGAAACCAATTCATGTTGGGGGAGGAGCTATCCAATGGTAGTCATGGAAATGTCTATGATTGACATCGGGTAAAATGCATGAATCCAGTAGGATTTTTCGTTCGACTCCCTAGGTGTTATCCGTAGTAACGGCTGTAACTCTGTTTGTACCGACGTCACTAAACTGACATGTAAATACAAGTTACTGGACTTTCTTTTTAGCGAGATGACAAATTGAGATGAAGAAACTCGAATCAACCAATCAGATATAAACCACCAATCAACCTACTCATCATTATTATTATATTCTGCCATTGTTTTTTTTTTTTCAGAACCTACTTCTGCTCGGCAGAATGATAAGCAACTTATCGACTTCCTGGACCAACTCAAGCAACAAYACAAGTCATTTTTGTGTTAAATATCTCAACTTAAGAGAGGATACAAAACTGGAGACGAAACTTAAACTAACAGCCTATACTTTCGCGTTTGTACTGGCAATTATCGGGAATAGTCTTGTTATTGCTATTGTACTGCGAAAGTCCCGTCTAAAAACCACGACCAACATGTTTATTATGAACATGGCTTTCAGTGATATGATGATGGCTATAGTTTGCATACCACCGAGTATGTTTTATATAGCTAACAACAACAGTCCAAAGCTGGTTCTAACAGGGGCACTCGGCTCGGCCTTGTGTAAACTCGTCGCATTTCTTCAGGGTTGGGCTATAACGGTTTCTGTCTTAACCCGCCTTATGTTAGCAGCAGATAGATACCTTGCCATAGTCTACCCATTTCATTTGTACATATCAAGATACAAAGCCAAACTATTGATTGTYGGTGTTTGGTTTGCTGGTACTCTAGCGAACTCACCTTTACTGTACGCAATGAGAATAGACAGACATGATCGTTGTATTGAGAGATGGGATCCATACTTTGATAATGAMAAGGCTACAAAAGACTACACTATAGCTTTGTTTGTGATTTTTTATGTGCTTCCCTTAGTACTGATTACATTTATGTACACTGCACTCATCAAGGAGCTTTGGCGTTCATCTCACTCAAACAAAACCGTGGCGTTTAGTGAGAATAAAGCCGTTCTTAAGATGCTGGTTACTRTCATCATCCTATTTGCTGTCTGTTGGCTGCCGATCCACGTGACTAGTTTTGTACTCATGTACGCAAAAAACCCGTCAGTCCGAAGATGTGGCGTCAATCCGTTGGTGCTTTTCATTGGCTGGTTTATGGGTCACGTGAACAGCGCAATTAACCCAATCATATACTTCAAGTTCAATCAACGATTTCAACATGARTTRGTAGGGTGGGTMAAGAGCATTCAGAATGTCTGTAAGAAAAAACAACATCAAAATACGGCATCGTTTGTCAGACCAAGAATAATTGTGACTCAGTTTACTGCGACCCAGACTGCATCCCCTGGAATAACAAACAACTATTTTGAAGACGAAAACGGGTCTATTACAACTAACCTATGAATCTGGCTGTACTACAAATGCGTTTGAGTCAATTTTTCTTGTATCAGTGTGTATTGGCACGCGCGTCTCGTGGAATTGCAAACCTCTGCACCAATAGACTGGTGACTATTTAATCCATAAAAATAGCAATCGAAACACCGGTTGCTGCTGCTTAGTGACGTCAATCAGAAATTTCTAGCTGTCCGTGATACTACTCAACCAGACCGTTAGAGAGACGTACGACCCCTCTCATTTCAACGCGCCCTCTTCTTGCCAAAAGCTACTTATTCATCGCTAAACAACATAAAATCAAGCATTCTTTGGCGAGCGCATTTGAAAAGTGTTTAAAAATGTATGGTCAGGAGCAGAGACAAAGATTTAGCTGAAGGTTAAAGACTGCTCACAAATGTGTAAAGAAATTCTCGTCAAAACAGCTGTGTACAAAGAAAGAATATACTGTCAAGTTCAACTCCTTAACAGTCTGAAAAAAAAAATCATGTCGTGTTAGAAACTAAAACTATAGCAGGTCACCATGCATCCTAATCAAAGAGTTAATTTCGTATGACTGGGAAACGTACGGTAGAAATTGCCGSACGGTTACTGCCTGCACAATTTTTGTGAACCAATGGGGCACTAGAATTTGGATACAGTACGATTACAGTCAAAGTACAGTACCATCATCATACGAAATCCGCTCTATATATCTCACGATAATAAACAAGAACTGGCATTATGATGATTTTGATATGCATTTTGGTATTAGTAGCTGTGAAGTGGTCCAAGCATAGTTACTAACTATGAGGGGAATAGAACATTATCAAAAATCTCACCTTAACTAAAGTTGCTAGGGCCATTTTGAAAGCAGACATACCTTTACCTCCATTAATTGTAGCTAGACAGCGATTGCCTGATCGAGTCTGCACTATGGGTGAGATATCACACCATGTATAGCCGAGGCTATATTCATGCACAAAGCGAATCCAAGTTTGTGTAAAAGAAAATTTCTCGAAAAAAATGCCAGACTTTGCAATCTTCAGAATGGGAAGACTTTGGGAGTATCCGGGAGAGTTCACAGGCCTGTCAAAAAGGACAAGTGAAAAAAAAAAACAAAAAACAGTCACGTGATCTGAAAACATATTTGCAAGAGTAAATCAGACAGACACTATATGCACTAAGGATTCAGTTTTGTATTTTTTTCGTTATTCGTCCATAATTATGTGAGTCAGTAATTGAGAAAATGTTTGTGAGCTCCTTACAATGTCTTGACACTTTAATAATCCTCTACTGAATAAGATACTCATTTTTGTCCAATCACCCTTAGGCATTATTTTAACTCTTGAAGTCAAATTAAATTACCCATGTAGCACTCGAYGGTCTAATTAACGAGACTGAGAGCGTTCTAATTGTAACCACACACTATAYGGCAAATTTGAAAATGAGACAAAAAAGAAGAATATCTTTCTCGTCAATTTTTCAACTGTTTTAACTTCATGCGACCATGTTCTATCTGAATTATCCAGTATAATCAGGTTTTATGACAGCCCATACTACTAGCTGTCAAACTCTTTGCAGATAGAGGAAGTATTTTGATATATAAATAGAAACTAGACGAAGTTATAACCATCCTTTTATCTGACATTTTTTTAGAATTGAAGAAAAACAAAGTTCTAAGGAGGCTTTCGTAGCCATTATAACCATGCGAGACTTGTCACCTGATATCAGTCTAAATACATAYCCATCCGGAAGAACGCGTGAAGWTCGKGCGTCATGGATCTACTTTCTCTTGATTTTTTAGTAATTGATAAAATCACTAATGAGTTTTTAATATAACGAGTACAAATAGACATGAAACAAAGAAACAGAGCTTGTTGGTTACCCTGTGTGTTTTTTTAATGGCAATAAGTATTGCGGGCTCAAGTGTGTTTCACAGGAAATGGAAAAACAAAATGGCGGAGAGCTGTTTTGAGATTTGTACAGCACAACCAGGCTAGAATGGCTACTGCCTCTGGAGGATTTACAAAGACCGATACAAATCAACATATCCCTGATATCCTGCAAGGCTCTGAACCTGGTGCAGCGTAAGTACATCTAACATTTGAGTCGAATATGGGTCGATGTCATACGCTTTTTAAAAAGCTTTTTGGGTTTAACTCAACTTAATACTTACATGTATTGTGTCAAGGCTGAATGACCTTGTGGTATTAAATAGGTGAAGTTAAGYACAGATTTACTAAAGAATAAATAACATATGGCTGGAAGGCTTTCATATGGCATGGGTCAGTTATACTYTCAACGAATAATAAAAACTGTTTTTTTAAGGCCGAATCATGAGCCACTATTTGAGGTCCCTTCAGAAGAAGATCAGGACTTATCATTTGACTCTGAGAGAGCATTAAGTCCTGATGACAACAAAGGAAGGATTTCTAGTATCAGTAGTAGCCATGGTTCAATAGAAAGCACAGCTGAAGAGACTACTGTCGTAGACTATACCATCCATGAAGAACCTGATATCAAGGATACTACAGAAATGGTGAATTCTRTGGATTTACAGGAGAAATCTGATAACTATGAAGGTATTTATGACATACTGAGGACTACATCACTTTTAAGTTTTTAAAGGTTTGTCAAATGTATTTTTATATTTTGGCACGTTTAAGCTGGATGTACTTTTTTTTACGGTCATCAATTGGGATTTGTAGTACTGTATTGCATTAGACAAATTACAAGATATCTAAAAGCTGATTTATTTTGTTTCATCTTRTAGAAGCAAGAAAGACAAGAGCTGAGAGTGTGATACAAAATCAAAGGGAAAGCTCTGAAGAAGGTTTGTTAATATTGAACAAGTTATTGTGAGTGAGATAATTTTTCATTCGATTCCAAAGAATTCAAAGAATATGGTGCATTTTTGAGAAGGTCTATATTCAAGAGAGACAGTTTAAAGTAGAGCAGCAGGCATAGATTTGAATGGGAAAAGCATATTGCATCTGATTATCTCATCATGGTCATGTGATATGGCATTGAAGTGAACCAATGTGTGACAACTTCAAGGAATAAATTATGGCTTGCTTGTAGCAAACACTCCAGTCTATAGTCTGCTTTGGTTACCCTTGTCATTCTAGAACATAACAAATTACAAATTAGATTGTCAAAAAAAAGGGAACCTAAGATTCTTTTCGAGTATTCTCATGAATGTTATAGTCCAGTCAAAATAGTGGAAAAAAAGGCTCAACCCGTAACAAATTGCAACAGAAGGTTTCTCAACGGTTTTAGACTCAGAAACAAGTGACTAATAACATATTAAAGTCTATAAAAATCTAATTAGGGGAACATCGTTATAAATACGAATCTT